AAAAAAAAAAAAAAGTTTTGCCCATTTTTTTTGGGGGGGGAGGGGGAATAATGGATAATTGCGGACATCTCTGCTGCTGTAGGCTGTTGGTTCTAGTCTTTGAGGGGATGCCTCCATCTTGCGACCATCATTAGAAACAGAACAAATGATGGGGCTGGCAGGTGGCATGGTGGTTAAGGGCACTGGACTCCCACATGGCTGACTGCAGTTTGAATCCCGGACCTGGTGGCTTGCTTTCTCACTTTCCTTCTCTCTCTCACTCTGTCCCTCTCCGGTCAAATTAGGATAAGTAAGCAAGCAACTAACTAACTAAATAAATAAATAAATAGAATAGAATAAAATAATTCTTAAAAAAGAAGAAGAAATAGAACAAGCCATGTCTTCCCTAAGGCAGAAGTTCTCCTGCATCTTTTTGCCCCATATCTATTAAACAGCAGAAATGCAGCACACATTAAGCTGAATAAACAAGTGAATAAACAAGTGGATCTACTGTATGCATTCTTTAACTGTAAATAATGTAACCAATCTCTGAATACCAATGCATTATCGCAAACGCAATGAAATTTTCAATTCAAGAAACATACCATCTACCATTACTGTCCCACTCTAGGAAACACCAACACCCACCTCACATGTATTTCTTTTTCAAAAGAATGTCCGAGCAGTAATTCCAGGCTCTTAGTACCTTATTTTTCAGAATTACAAGCAAGGATATACAAATACACAGTATCTACAGGATGCTAACACATTTTTAAAAAACGGAAACAGTTATTATTTGAAGCTAGGAGATCTTCACTCATCTGAAAGAGGAGCAGCCTGACTCTGAGTCCTTACCCTTTGTGCTCCTGGAGAAGTCTGAACACCGCACAGCACTCCGGTTGCAGGCCCCTCACCTTGAGAGCTTTCATAAGGCAGTCGTGCAAGCTCATCCCATTGCGCACATTGACCTACAAACAAAAGACCAGCTTTAGGACGGACACGGGCCGCAGCAGCCCTTGCAGAGGTGAGCACAGAAACTAGTGTGCTTGTCGATGAGGGTGTAGGCAGAGACACACAACACCGTCCTTGTAATGGAAAACCCAAAAGGAATGCCACACAACAGGTGAGCACTTGAACAAAGTATGAGACATCTGTGAAAGTCACATCACACAGCTATTCTATTATTTTACTTGTAGTGACCAGGAGGACTGGTGTCTATAATGTAGTAACTGGCGAAAAAATACCAGAATAATATAAAGAGTAAGATTATCTAAAAGGTGGGGAAACCTATATATTATATGCTTATATTATGGTGGATGAGTATCAAAAGATACACACTTACCTGTTTATATCAAAAGAGTATGACCGAGCAATACAAAATAATAAACTTATATCTCTAGTTTGTTAGTTTGTTAAACTAAAATATACATGGCAAGCATCTACCAGAAAGGAAAATAGTGGATCTATGAACAAACAAGAGCTTTTATTATATAGAATGTGTTCTTCAGGGCTAGCTCTGTGCCCTAGTGGTTAAAGCAGCTGGATCCCACATGGCTGATGATGCAGCTCAAGTCCCAGACCCAGCAGCTTGAGAAACATACCAGGTATGTGTGCCTGCGTGGCCTAAAAATCTGGAAAGGAGGAAAAAGAGATCGCAGCGTGAACATTCCCCATGGGGTAATATTTTCTCCACTTCCTCTCTGTCTCTCTTCTACAAGCATATATGCCCTCAAGCCAACAAAAAGAAAAAGAAAAAGAAAAAGAAAACAGAAAAAGGCTCTTTGGGGCTGGCCTCATAACCCAACAGTTGAAGGCTATATAGAGGGAGCTGGATCCTGCATGGCTGACTGCAGTTCAAATCCCAGCCCTGGCAGCTTAAAAAGAACACAGGGTGGGCCAGCAAGTGGTGAGGTGATTAAGGTGCTGAACTCCCACACGGCCAACCATGGTTGAGTCCCAGGCCTGGTGGCTTGCTTTCTCTCTGGTGAGTGCATGTGCCACTCAATCCTGGCTCTTAATTGTGCCATCTCAATTTCAATCCAGCCAATTCTCTGGCTGGTTTAAGACAAAGAAATAAATCCTAAGAAACAAGACAGAGTTATCTGAGCTAGCTTCCTTAGTAGGCTCCAACACAGGGCACAGTATTGGATACAAAACAGAGGTAACAATTTGGGAGGGAAGGGAGTGAAAGTGAGCTTGAGGAATTCGAAAACATCATTGAGGAGCAATGAAAATCTCCCCTGGGCGTTATTTTGCTGACTGATTTATCTGCCCAGTTATTCCTCCATCTGTGAGGCACAAAGATGGGCTGTACATTAACAGAAGTCAGCACACAAAGTCTGATCTGGGGAAGAGAGAAATTTAGGAGATGGTGGCAGTGAGGTAAGAACATTCTCTTGGGAGGAAGGAAAAGGGCTGATCCAAATTGTAAAAGCTCATTTGGAGATGGTGACAGCCTCCTTAGCTACTGGCCTCTCCACTCTTTCGCATACACAGAAGAGAAAGAAGGCTGTAAACCACAGGGTAAGAGGGACACAACTGATTCGTCAAATCGATCAAGACTTCTTTATTACCAGAAGCCTCTGACAACAAAAAAGAAGGGGGCGGGGTAGGGACAGGGATCATCTGATATGCTGATCCTTATGAATACATTATCTATTCAAAAATAAAGTCAACATTCTACAAAAGTTTCTTGTACGTACCAAAATAATTCAGATAAATGTATCTGGAATTCTGTCAAAAAAAAAAAAAAAAAAACTGGAAATAAGTGAGTGAAACCACAAATTAAACAGAACAGTACCACTGGCTAAGCATGGAAACTGGATGGTAGGTCCATGACATCAGATTCACTACCCTAACCACTCTGCTCCTGTGTGTGCTTTGTAACGCTCCATAATAACCCTGAATGCCTCTCGAAGCAGTGAAGCAGTGACATCCTTTGAAAGGTTCCACTACTTCAAGCTTTTCAGAAACCAAATTAAGTAAAGTGATAAACTGACTTTAACTATGAAAATAAGACATCAAGAATGAAAGAAATGAACAGTAATAAACACTCAGGACTAGCAGGTGATGTAATAGTTACATCACTGGACTTCCATGTAGTCGAGCGTGGTTTGAGACCCGGACCTGGTGGGTTTAAACTCATTCCAGGTACGTGTGCATGCATGCCTAAAATCCCAAGAGAATGGAGAAGGGATTGAACACGGCCATCGCCCCTGGGGGGAGATTTCTCACTTTCTGTCTGGCGAGTACACATGTCCTATAGCAAAAATCTCTCTCCCCTAAAAAGAGAGTAATAAGCACACAGTGACAGAATCATGATCTCTGTCAATACTGCACATGCACAGTAGTGCTGTCACAGCTGTGACGTAGTGTCTGTGTTCTGTCATCAACCATCACTAAAAGTCAAAGACTCTATGAACTGGACAGTTCTTCAAACACCCTCTAACCCAGTAAGGTTTCCAAATGTGACTGGCATTAGAACTGAGGGACTTATGAAAATATAGATTCCCAGCCTCTTCCCTCCCTTCAACATATCCGAGGATTCTGATTCAGTTCATCTGGAATGAAGTCCAAGTTAAATAATTCTTTAAAAAAAAAAAAAAAAGTTTTTTTTTTTTTTAAAAAAAGAGTATATATATTAATTGAATGTCCTAAATGTCTTTTTAATATGAGGATAAACAATGACAGTAAATACAAAAAATATATCATAGGAAAAATTAAACGTTATGAAATGAAGTATAAATTTAAATAATAATAAAGTAATGTAAAACAGTTAGTTTGGGTCTCGCTGTCTTAAAGGGCCATTCCCTCAACGACGAGGCTGGACTAAGTCCTCTGGCCTCTTGGGCGAACCAGCAGTACCCAGAGTGGAGAAGACAGTCTCAGGAACACCCAGAAGCACCAGCTGGTCATCGGCCTCCTGTAACATCTGTGCTTCCTAGCTGACCTCTCAACCTATGGCCAGAAAGAAACCACTGAGAAACAGTAGGTAGGGGCCTGCAGGCAGCACAGGGGTTAAGGCAGACGAATCCCATATGGTTGACTACGCGATTCAAGTCCTGGAACCAACGGCGTGAAAAACGTGCCGGGAGCCTGTGTGTGCATACCCAGAATCCTGAGAGGAGAATGAAGTGACTGCAGCATGGCCACCCCTCTGGGGGAGACCTTCCGCTGTCCCTCTCTCCCGCTCTCTCTTTCTCTCTCTCTCTCTGGTTCTGGCAAACACACACCACCTATGGCAGAAAACTGAAAAGAAAATAATACAAATGGGCCGGCAGGTGGTGTGGTTAAGGGCGCTGCTGGACTCCCAAGTAGCCAACTGTGGTTTGAGCCCTGGACCTGGCAGCTTGCTTTTCCACTTTCTCTCACTCTGTCCATCTCTGATCAAATTTAAATTTTATTTATAGAGTTAAAATAATAAAAATGATTCATTAAAAAAAAAGAAGAAGAAAAGAAAATAACACAGTTGGTAAAAATCACTTTGCAGGGGCCAGTAGGTGGTGATGGTGGTTAAAGTGTTGGACTCCCACATGGCTGACTAGTTCAAGTCCTGGACCTGGCAACTTGCTTTTTCACATTCTCGCTCTTTGTCTCTTTGGTCTAATTAAAAATAATAATAATAGCAAATAAACTTAAATAATAATTTTTTAACATATCACTTTGCAAACAAAAGACAACTATAAGAGATTGATACTACTTATTTTGTCAGCCATAAAACTTTAATTTCGAGGAGAACAAAAGTAAATTTACTCAAACTTTAACTGGCCTTTGTGCTTTGCCTTCAGTTCAAAATGTACCATTATAATCAAGATCCTCCTTAGATTCACAAAAAAAGTATAAAGACATTTATTAGCAAACTGGGGAGAGTAGAACTATTAGAAGGAAACTTAAAAACCTCTGGACTGGGGAGACCAGCAGATGGGGTAACGGCTACATAGCTGGACTCCTATGTAGTCGACCACCATAGAGTCCCGGACCCAGTGGCTTAAACTCACGCCAGGTATGTGTGCGTGTGTGCCCAAGATCCCGAGAAGAGGATGGAGGAGAAGGGATTGCGGCGTGGCCATCCCCTCTGGGGGGTGATTTCTCGCTTTCTGTCTCTCTCTGTCTTTCTGGGGAGAGCACGTGCCCTATAACAAAATACCCCTCTGGGAGAAAAAAAAAAAAAAAACCTCTGGGCTGGACTTTGCAACTTCAGAACCTGCTTTGCCAAAGTATAGACCTCCTAACCTCAGGTGTTGCTTCACCTGGGTATACAGGATGAACACAGCACAATGATTTTACACAAAGGATGGAGGGTGGGAAAGGAGAAGACATAGAAGTTTTGAACAATGATTTTTAAAAATGTCCACCAACAAAAATCAGTGTAATTTGACATTTTTGTATGGTCAGGCAGATCTGGTCTTATCTTTTTATAAAATCCAGAATAGTAGAAAACTTCTCTCTTTTTAAAAAATTATTAGTAGTATTTTTTAATTTGACCAGAGAGAAACAGAGAGAAAAGGGAAAGTGAAAAGGCAAGCCGTCAGAACCAGGACTTAAACCGTTGTTGGCCATGTAGGAGTCTAGCGCCTTAACCACCATGTCACCTGCTGGTCCTAAAAACTTCTCTTTGTGGGGGGCTGGCAGGTAGCGTGGTGGTTAAGGGTGCTGGACTCCCAGACAGCCGACCGTGGTTCAAGTCCCAGACCTGGTGGCTTGGTTTCTCACTTTCTCTCTCTCTCCCTCTCTCTGTTCCCCTCTGGTCAAATTAAAAATAAACAAATAAAGTTAAATAAAATAATTCTTAAAAAAAAAACAAAAAAAAAAACTTCCCTTTGTTAGCAATACGCTCTTAGAATATTTAGGGTTTTACGTCAGAAAACTCAGTGGCAGTGTCCCTACCGTTATCTAACATGAACCTATAGCTATGTAGAGATTACTGGCAGGTGCTGTGATTTTTAAGCTATGTGTAGATTTCTCCCAGGACCAGGACATACAGAAGTAATTTTACTTTCATCTTTATATTTGACTCTAAGGTTAAGTATTTTAGGCAAACATTTTGCTTTAATAGAAATAAAAGTCTTTTCCAAAAAAATTATCTGGAAAGGTTTTAAAAGAGCTTCTAAAAGAAATGTATTTAAAACACATACCCATAACGTACTCTTTGTGTGGATAAAGTATCAAAAAGTAAGACATTCCAGACAAAAGTAGTAACAGAAGGAAGGCCAAGGTGTGGAAAAAAGTGGGATTGGCAGGTGGTGTGGTGGTTAAAGGTGCTGGACTCCCACACAGCCAATTGCGGTTTGAGTCCTAGACCTGGCAGCTTGCTTTCTTACTTCCCCTTTCTCTCTCTCTGTCTCTCTTCGGTCAAATCAAAAAGTAATAACAACAAATGGAATTAAATAAATAAATAATTCTTAAAAAAAGAAAAAGAGAGGAAGAAAAAAGTAAGGGTGTGGAAAGACACTCTTATGAATTAAAAATAGGGGCTGGCAGTTGGCATGGTGGTTAAGAGTACTGGACTCCCACATGGCCGATCGCAGTTTGACTCCAGGACTTTGCGGCTTTCTCTCTCTCTCTCTTACTGACCCTCTCTGGTCAAATTAAAATAAGTAAGTAAATAAATAAAGTTAAATTAAAATATTTCTTTTTCTTTGGAGAGGTTTTTGCAATAGGGCGCGTGCGCTTGCCAGAAAGAGATAGAAAGCGAGAAATCTCCCCTCAGGGGGGTTGGCATGCCACAATGCCTTCTTCATTCTCCTCTCGGGATCTTGGGCACACATGCACATGCACCTGGAGTGAATTTAAGCCACCGGGTCCAGGACTCGGACTGTGGTCAACTACATGGGAGTCCAGCGACATAGCCATCATGCCAACTGCTGGTCCCTGATCCATAATGTTTTCTATAGGCACATGAATAGCTAAAGTTCCTTAACATGCACATACCACTGTTCTTTGCTTGTTCGGCAAGAAAACACGGATGGTGTTGCTTGTCTTCGAAGAGTCTGTGAGTTTGCCATCATCTGACGCCCGGCGCTGATAGCCAAACTGTTGAACTATTGTAGGGGAGATGCAGCTGGAACCATCAAACACCGCATCTTTGAATCCAAAACCATTGCTGATCGTCTTCCAGGCCCCTTGTATGTGCTCCATTGATGCAGCTTGAACAAGACGTAAACCTACTAAAAAAGAGAAATAATTTTAACTCTAGAATAAGAGCACCTACTCCAGTGACACTTAAATAACAGTGATTGTGAAAAGAGTTTTTTACACTATTATGGATTTTTAGTAAGAGATACCTTCTTTGTAACAAAACTAATCAGAAAAGAAAATAACAGTATATTCTATAAATACTTCAAAGATAAGTCCAAAATTAAGAAAATAGGTTTAAAAAAAAAAAAAAAAAACCTCATCGGGACCAGCAGTGAGCGTAATGGCTATGTAGTCAACCCATGGTTGACTCCCATGTAGTCAACCGTGGTTCGAGTTCCGGACCTGGTAGCTTAAACTCCCTCCGGGTGCATGTGCGTGTGTGCCCAAGATCCGGAGAAGAGAAGAGAGGAGAAGGGATTGTGGCATGGCCATCTCCCCTGCGGGGTGATTTCTCACTTCCTGTCTCTCTCTCCCTGTCTTTCTGGCGAATGCACGCACCCTACAGCAAAAACTCCTCAAAAAAAAGAAAAGAAAAATAAAACTCATCAAGAGTTATACTGCCAGTTAAAAGTCAACCCAAAGGGCCACAGGTGACATGGATGTGGGCTGGATCCCACATGGCCAACTGCATGGTTCAAGTTCCAGACATGGCAGCTTGGAAATCATGCTGGGTTTGTATGCATGTGTGCCTAAGAACCCGAGAGGAGAACAAAGGAAAGAGTTGTGGCGTAGCCACCTCCCCAGGGGGTGTGGATTTCTCCCTTGCTTTCTCTTTCTCTCTATTGCTATGCCTCTCTCCTGTCAGTGCACACACCTTATAGTATAAAAAATAAAAAAATAAAAAAATAAAAAGCCAACCTGTAAGATGAGCCCAGGACTCCTGATTTCTAGACTAAGACTTTTTTTCAATTATGTTTCCCTTCGTCTTTCATTATTGTACATTAAGTACAAGTGACTACTACCCTTAACTGTGCATGTTAGGTCTATATCCCCTATCTCAAAACCTTTAAGACACAACCTCTGACTTTATAAAAGAAAATAATAATAATTTCTTGGATGTATTTTAGACACTATATATATATATGTACAAGAATACTCAAAAGGTCATGGAAAGAGATCAGCAGGTAACAAGTGGTTAGGGTGCTAGACTCCCACATGGCTGACCATGGTTCAAGTCTTGGACCTGGAGGCTTGAAACTGACACAGGATGCATGTGCATGCATGCCCGAAATCTCAAGAGGAGAATGGAGAAGGGATTGTGGTATAGCCATGTTCCCCAAGAGGATGATTTCTCACTTTCTCTCTTTCTCTGTTTCTTTCCAGCGAACACACATACCTAGGCAAAAACCTTAAAAAACAAAATTAAAAGTTCATGGGAAAATGGAATTGAAGCTTAAGTTTATATTGTTGCAAAACAAGATAACTACTATAGAAGTACACAGTTAGTTCCAGCCATGGCCTAATGGCTGGATCTCACATGGCCAACCACATAGTTCAAGTCCCACATCAGCAGCTTGGTGAAAAACACTAGGCATGTGTACGTGCCTGACCAAAATCCTAAAAGGAGGACGATGGAGGAGAGAGAACGTGGTGTGACAACCACGGAGGAAGTGGGGTACTTTCTCACTTTTTTCTCCCACCATCCAGCAAGGGCGTGTACCCATTCATAGCTAGTCACAAAATGACAATAGGTTAAATATTCTGCAACAAACATCAGGATTTGCAAAGCCCTAGCATGTTTCAGAAGTCTCCAGCTATATAGAAACGAGGGGTTTGCTTCCTCCTTTAGAAAACTCTGAGATTAATGGGCCAGCAGGTAGTGCGGTGGTAAAGGTGCTGGATCCCAAATGGTCAACTGTGCAGTTGGTCGGAGTCCAGGGCTTCCGGAAAACAAACGGACAGGAAAAAAAAGGAAAAAAAAAAAAACATAGCACCGAGTCGGGGACTCAAAGCTCGGACGACTAAATGAGAGTCCAGCAATACAGCCATTACGCCAACTGCTGGTCCCAGTATGTCGATCTTAAATGAGACATTTAGACCCCTGGTGATATCACTCTTCAATGTAAACATAACAATAGATCTAACTTCCAACACTGTGAAACTAGAAAAACTATTGAACATTACTGCTAAAAATCTAAATCATTCTCCATAATTTAAGAATGAGGCCAATGGCATCAATCTGTCCCCAATGTATTAAAACACATAAAACAATTGTATATGTTGTATAATATCAAAAATGAAAAGCATGAGAAAGATAAATTATGGGACCAGCAGGTGGTGTAATGGCTATGTCACTGGACGCCCATGTAGTCGAAGGTGGTTCTTGTCTCGGACATAGTGGCTTAAACTCACACCGGGCACGTGTGCGTGCCCATGCCCCTGAAGGGGTGATTTCTCGCTTTCTTTCTGGCAATCACACGAACCCTATAGCAAAAACCTCTCAAAAAAAAAAAAAAAAAAGATAAATTAAAATGTTCATGAAGTAGTCTGGGTATTTATCAGACTTTTTCAACTCTTACATAAACATGTATTGTTTAAAGAGGATTGTTAATATGCCATTTGAAGATAGCTACTAACAAAAAGTTTATTTATATACAAATTAACTATAGGGCAGTCCAGTTGACTTTTAAATTTAAGAATGGAATTTCAAACACTTAACACATTCGGCTCTATGACAGAAAGTAAATCTATGGATATGGTATTTTGTGAATGATCTTTTAAATAAAAGAAAACCTTACATTAAAAAATATAAAAATTTAAAAAAAGAAATTAACTATAAAATCTCATTTGTGGGGCCCGTGGTTTAGGTGGTTGGACCCACATGGCCAACTGTACAGTTCGTGTCCCAGACTTGGCAGCTAGCGAAACACGCAGGGCATGTGTGCATGCATGCCCAAAATCCCAAGAGAAGACCGGAAAAGATGGGACTGCAGTGTGTCCATCCTCCCTGGGGGGTGATTTCTCACTTTCTCTCTCTTTTCCTAACATACCCACACACTCATCCTGCAAGCGCACGTGCCCTACATGAAAAGAAAAAATACATCTGTGTACAATGATAAAAACAATCTTTTTATTTTTGATAACTCTCTTCTCATATACAAAACAGTAGTTCAATTATCACAAAGGTTCCCAGACCTTGAAAATTTGTTCGGTGATGGGGCTGCAAATGGTGTAGCAATTACATCCTTGGATTCCACATGGCTGAATGAAGTTCAAGTCCCAGACCTGGTGACTTGAAAATTATGCCGGGTGTGTGTGCTGGGTATGTGTGCGTGCATGCCCAAGATCCCAGGAGAAGAATGGAGAAGGGATTGCAGTGTGGCTATACCCCTGGAGGGTGATTTCTCACTTTCCCTCTGTCTCTGTGTGTGTGTGTGTGTGTGTCGCTCTCTCTCCAGCGAATGCCCATGCCCTACGGCAAAAACCTTTTTTTTTTTATTATTTTTATTTGGTGAGGCGATCTGAGACTATATTCTACAGCCTAAACAATTACCTTTTAGATGTCAGAAAGACATCACAGATTCATAATTTAATTTGTGTTGATACCTGTAATTTTATAAGTTATTCAGAAACCTACAATTTACTAATACAAATTCTTCTAATCTATTCTATTGGGTTGGTGGAAAAGTCATGACGTATTTTTCTATGTTTCTATGCACAAATACATCAAGCCTTTTCCTACGACCCAACAGAATTCAGGTTTCAGTGGGTTCCATGCTACTTCCTTCCGCATTCCTTAACGCCTCCTCCCCAAACTCCCTACCGACCATCACAGAAGTTTCTGAAATCAAAAAGCCTAGATCCTACCGTCCTCTGCTTCCTCCACTTTGGCTACTGTTACATAAAGAATTACCACAATGGGCCCAATCCTAAAGTCAGTCACCAAAAGATACCAGCATTTAATTGCAAGAGGGCACCAGCATTCATGGGGGGAGGGGGGAGGGGGGGAAGAGAAAACGAGAGAGGGGGAGAGAGAGAAAGCACCCCTCAACAGGATGTAATCATGCTTCTTCCTCCCGTTCTCCATCCTGTCAAGATCTGTGGCATGCACACACATGCCTGCTGTGTTTCTCAAGCTGCTGTGGCCCGGACTCTACGAGTGGTTGGTAGGCCACGTTCCATGCAACTCCTAAGCACGGCACTGAACCACTGAGCCATACGGCCAACCCTAGGGACTGTTTTATGATAGAGAAAGAGAATTACTCAACTGCCAGACAGCCTTCCACAGTCGCCACCCTACATCTAGAAACATGAGCTTGTATACATTTCTGATGCTTTTTTAGCCTACATTCTTTCTGAGAGTGGCAGATTCCATAAGTTTACCAAAAAGTTTGCCTTTACTGGCTTTATGAGTTATTATGTTACCTAAAATTTGAAAATTTGTTTGCTTTAATAATGTAATTCATGATTGTACAGTCTAAACTTTTTTAAGAATGATTTAGTTATATTTGTTACTATTTAATATGCTATACAGGGCTAGTGCACTCATGAGAGAGAGAGAGAAAGAGAGGAAGGGAGGGAGGAAGAGGGAGAGAGAAAGTAAGAAAGCAAGCCTCCAAGTCAAGGACTCAAACTGCAGTTGGCCACACTGGAGTCCAGCATCCTAACCATCATGCCACCTGCTGGTCCCTGGCAAAAGCTTTTTTAAATAATATATCTTTCTACACCAAAATGTTCATTTTTGTTATCACAGTTAACCTGTCATAATCACTCAAGCTCATTTACTTTTTTTTTTTTTTTTGAAGAGGTTTTGCTATAGGGCACATGCGCTCGCCAGAGAGAGACAGAAAGCAAGACATCACCCCCCAGGGGGGTGGCCACGCAGGAATCTCTTCTCCTCCATTCTCCTCTCGGGATCTTGGGCATGCACGCGCAAGTGCCCAGCGTGAGTTTGAGCCACCAGGTCCAGGACGTGAACCGCGGTCAACTACATGGGAGTTTAGCGACATAGCCATTACATCAACTGCAGGTTCCTCAAGCTCATTTACTCTTAATGTGAACATTCTGTTTTAGACAGTTAAATAAAGCC